CTTCTACTTCAAGGTAGTTGTTTTCGTAATATGCTCATTTCCATTTTAGCAAAATACTATGAAATTTCGGCTGCACCATATGTTCTCCAGCTATTGTGACATTTCAAAAAACTCAATTAGATGCCTCTTTTCTGAAAAAAATTATCACAGTTAAAAGAAGTAAGATATACAACCTCATTATTTTGCTACACTCCGCTTTCGTATGTATTGTACACCAGACAATTGCACTTCCAAAAAAAATTTGACATTTGTCTTCTCCTTTTCAAAACATTGGCGAAACAAAGTTTCTTGAAGTGAGATATGAACTGTAACGCAGTTTACTCTGCTTTTCGTCACGATGTCTATTTTTTACTCACCAACAAGATATGATCAAATAATTCTAGAATATATTAAAGCAAAAGTCAAGTAATGACAAAGCCGTACAGGGTTTATTTCCAGATTATTCACACCAATCAAACGAGCTTCCTCCCTTTCAAACTAAAATCAAACGATAAATGTTGGACTTACAAATGTATCGGGCATTGTTTCGCCCAACTCCTCAGAACAATTCATTACGTTCTTGATTGTACCAATTACTGGGCCGTCACATAAATTTTCTTAGTTTTTGCACTTTTTTCGGCAACTTTTTGAAATTTCCGAGCTCAAAGTATATGCTAGATCGACAAAAAAGCGCATTTAATATCAGTGTTTGCCTTAAACTAATTCTAAAAACCTAGCGAACAGGTTAATAATTATTGCGTTTTTGAAAGAATTCGTTTCCTGTAGTAATCCAAAGAATGACTTTGTCAAAAACTTTGATTCTATAAAGACGCTTCATTCATCGGCACATTTTATGAAGAACATCTTTAGTTAGTTCAATCTTTATTATCTCTGCTTCATACAATTTTCATTTTTTCCGCTAATTCTCTGAACAGACGTCAGACGTCCTCAAACTGCTTCAACGACTTTTTTGAGTCGAGATGCATCGAGATCTAACGCAATGTTATTGGCAAACTTCTTAAAGAGATGGGAACAGGTTTCGAGCAGTGATGAAAGGTGTATTTTAATTAGCTTATTGTCAGCATTCCATATAATTGCTTCAGAACAGATATCAGCATTCCATATAATTGCTTGAGAACAAATCAAAAATCGCAGCAAATTTTCAAGAAAACTGAATCAAACTATTTTTCTCCTATTGGCCCCATATTCTATACCTCAGTTCGAAGAATACTACGACCATAAAGGATATATAAAAATGACAAGTCTTCTAGAACAGAAAAGAACTACAGAGATATACAGTTCATTCGTTAAAAATTCCACAAAAAAATGCAGGAAAAACCATCAGGAAAAAAATTCCATGTCATGACCTAATAATTCACAAGCGGTCTCGTAGCTTTCAAAGTGAGTTTGTTAGTTGCTACTATGATCCCTCTTTCTTAAATGTCACCTAATTAATCGGCACATTATCATGTTATAA